ATTCTTGTGGAAAACGATTACATCGGAGTATTACAAAAATTCGAGGACATCCTTGGAATCCTTGAGTATTCCGAAGTTGCATTAGATTTAATTGAAGTCATCGAAGGAAACTTCATTCAAATAATTGTTCAACGCTCGCCTAACGAGGCCATTGCACTTGGACGCCCTGGGTTCGTCGATTAATTAAGCTAGGACAATTTTAATTGTCGTACCCGTTTTCGAATCTAAGAGCTCTCCTCGAAGACGGTTCCTATACGTCCCGCCAGTGTTCTCTTCGTTTATTCTATTCGGATTTCTATCAACGTTCTCGCGTGCTACAGCGTGAGCTTCATAAAGATGCATAGAAGGATTAAAATGCAACGCGACTCTTGCAGTAAGCTATGCAGATTGACACCAAGCAATCGTCTCGAGCCTCTCTGTCATTCTCTTTCCCCTCTCTCTCTCTCTTTCTCTCTCACTTTGGAAAACGAAAATTGCCAAGGCATTGTTCGTTAGCAGCGAAACGAGGGAGAAAAAAAAAAATACACTATCGAAAAGCAATATTCGCGATGGACACGAAAATATCGAGGCTAACTTATATTTTCTCTGTCCTTTCAAAACAGTTTCCAATGTTTTTCAACGGATTTTCGTATTAACATTCAAGAGCAATTTCGACGCTTGTCCGTTGGAGGCAATTTTCGCTCGACATTTCGAAATTTTCGAAATTCCATTTGAAAAATTATCCAGACGATTTCCTTTATTTAACATTCTTCTTTTTATTTTCAGCCAGACGATTTTTCGATTATTTTTCAAATATTTCGTATCATTCATATGTTACTCGATGCACTGTCAACTGAATGTGATATGTTTGAATAGCGTGTGAAATGCAATTTTTGTGCATCAACGGTCACGTGATACGTACGAGCGTGTGATTAGAGACCAGAAGAGACACGGAATTGTTACTGGTGTCCAGGAGAGTGAGGGAACCGTCGTCCGCCTGGTAGACAAACTTGTCGTGGGCAACCCAGGTCGGTGTTAACCTGTGCGGCGTCAGATCATCACGAAGGCACTCGTCTAACGTGAGCCGTCTGCCGCTCCAGTACAGCAGCTCGTCGACGTACCTGAAAATTCACGATCAATATAACGAATGTTCCCTTTAATACATTCATTGATTCGATAGCTGAGCTTAGGCTTAATCACTAAACTATCTGAATAAATTTTAAACAATTTGTGCAACAAAAAATATTATTAATATGAATATTACGAATGTTCGCTGAATTTTGTATTTTGGAATTAATTGACATCCAATTTGATCTTGTAATATTTGGAAATAATTAACTAGATGTCGAGTGGGGTTCAAAATATTTTATGGGAGTGAAGAATACTGTTGACTTGAATGTTACGAATTTTTGCTGGATTTTATATTCTGGAATTAATTAATTTACATCCAATTTGAAATTGTAAATTTTGGTGGTAATTAACTAGATGTCGAGTGGGGTTCAAATATTCTACAGGGTGAAAAATACTGTTAACTTAAAAATGAAGAATTTCTTACTGAAATTTAATATTTGGAATGAATTAATTAGGCATCGACTTGGATTCGAAATATTTGACGAGTGTGAAAATTGTTGCACACACGAAAATTGCAAATATCCATGAATTTTTAAAATTTCTAAATTGTTAATTTGTTTTTCATAAAATTCATTGACGTTTCAAATCGGTATCAGAATTACGTGTTTAAGGTACGGACGATGCTGTTTAAAGATAGCAGGAAAATGGTAGAGTGGGTAATGTTATAGAAAGCGAAGAGATGTTCTCATTCCGACGTGGCTTTAAGGGCGATAAAACGGGGATTTTCTGGCGGGGCGAGGCTGGACGCGTCCGAGGAGGATTTTCCGCAAAAAGTGAGCTGGAAAGTAACAAGTGAAAGTCGACTAGCAACCTCTGGGGATAAACTCGATGTTTGAGCGTGTTTCGAGGCACAACCCCAGCTCGATTAGTTCTCTTTTGGACTCCATAAAAACTCGTTATAAAGTGAATATAAAATCTCACCGAAACTCTACTTGCTAATAATAAAATCACAACTTTCGCAATGTGTTAACCTACCGCCTCTCTTCACTCTAAAATTAACACTAAACCGAACGTTATATTTACACCAAACAATGAAACAAGAAATAAAACGCACGTAGAATGTTCTGCATTTCATTCTTCCACCTCTGTTTAAAATAAAACGTAACGCTTAATTCTTTCTGTACTAATAGTAAAACAGTAACTTTCTCAGCCAGCTCGAAAAATCCAAGTTGAAACAAAGAATATTTAAATTTGAAATAAAGATACAACTGATACAATGTAAAGGTACCAAAATAATTTCTGCACTTAATACTTAAACCAAGAAAAAAAAAAGGATTTTTATTCAGCAAAAAAGAAAATTATTTAAATCCCAAATTTCCTCAGTATCGGACTTTCACTTCCTCGAACAAAACAGGAAGCTATAACTTCGCTAATGGCCCGGTAGAATTTTCGCGTCGATAAATCCGCCCCATTTCTTCTTCGTGGTGAGTCGCGATTCGTCGATAAAAAAGGATTAGGGGATTTCTTCCGATAGAAGGGCCAGGAGAGATTAGTTTCGCGAGTCTACACCGGATAATGCATTTCCGGCTGCTTAACTGCATCCTCCGTCGGCAGAAATCGTCTGGAGCGGTGGGGGATTGCGATAGCCGAGTGAAAGGGGTGAGAAAGAAAGGGTACACTCACCCGAGAAGGTAAATGGCCGTGACGATCCCGGCGATAACGAAGCCGATGACCAGCAGCGAGAAGATTATGCTCCGCCAGTTGTGACCGCCCTCCGCGTACGTTAGATCCTGTGAACAGGTCAGAGATTCTTCTCGTCAGCGATCGATCGATCTATTAGCTAGTGGCTCTATCAAATGCACAAGCTTGCATGCAAACCGCGAAATCCTTCAGGGGAGGAGACGATCGACAGTCAACACGCTCATGCTGTTCGTGATTGGTTTCTTAGTCGATTGGATCTGATTTCAGTAAGGGCTGTCGGGTTGTCTGTAGTCAGGGGCTATTGGCTCAATTCCCTCCGTAAGGTGGACAGTGTGATCGAGCTCTGGTGCGAGTGATTCGAGATTCGTGCAGAGAATTCGTAACATTCTTGAGAGTTCGTGGAGTAAATTGTGCTATCCTAGGTAGAATTAAGTTTCGAAGAAGTTTTTCGAGAATTTGTGAGTGTTCAGAATTGCGAGATTTTAGGTAGGTTTATGATGAAGTACGAGCCATATGTTTGCAACGTGGTGCAATCTTTTGTCTTGTGTAAGAAATTTTAGAATTATAGGTTAATGAAGTTGTGAAGTAGCAGGGAATAATTAAACGAACATTTCTGTTTTAAATAATGGAGTTTGAAATATGTGGATATAAGTCACCTGGCGACGAGCAACCCGCTTTGCATCTACTATTCCTTTTTATCATATTTACAAGGATATTCAAAAGAATATTACTAAAGACTACCAGACTTTGAATTCAAGAACGAAGTGTATAGCGAGTACAATCTCCATATCCAACAACATACAATTCCTTCCTAAAAATCTTACAATTACATAATCCTCGCAAACGAAACTACTGTTTGGCGGATTGCTCGTCACTAGGCGCCCAACTTCCAAATCCTTAAAACTCTATTACCGAAAAACCTCAATAGAATATATTCCTTTCCTCATCCTCTGCTCTCTTTTACTTAATTCACCCACAATTCCAAAACATCCCTCACGTAATCCTAACAGAGGATCCAGAATTTCACCGAGCGACCACCAGAATCGATCGTCCCTTACAGTTCACAGATATCGATTCTTCTCAGAATCATTCCACTGCTGTTCCCAGAGAAGAAAGAACTTAATTCGAATAGTGATGTATCAATGGTCCAACTTATCGAGGACGTTTTCGGACGTCTCGGCCGGGTCGATCGTAGTTGGCGTCAAGAATATCGAAAGGATCTTCTGCGGCGGGATGCTCGTCACGGCATGCATATTGCATTCGGGTTATGCTCGCAACGTGCAACCCGCCGCTGTTTGCGCGGCTAAGCCGGATAACACGTACCGGCCGTGTAATACATAGCGGCGCGACTGGATTTTCGGGACCTGTTTGAATCGCCACGCGACCCACGCACACGCGTGTTCCAACTAGACGGGGATGATATAGGTTCGCTACGTAAACGCGGCTAATCCAGCCGGTGTTTGTTCAATGAGGGTTATCAGCGGACGATCGCCTTGTGTAACCTGTCTCAGCCAGTATAGCTGATCGCGAAATCTCCTATCACTTGCGTTTTATCATTGCTCTGCATAAGGGCTAGTTGCATTTAAATTTAATGGATTCGCTTCTGGTGTGAAGGTATATTTTTACTATCGCGAATTGACTTTTGGTAGGAATACTGTTTTTATTCTAAATTCGGCGTTCGCTCTTCTACCAACTCCACACTGGCCGGAAGTGTTCGCAAACAATTCGCAGACTGTTTACGAACTGCAGTAGCATCGTATCCACATTGGAGCTCGCTACCGAGTTTACTGCTCAAGAAAATGTCTACACTGCCGACGAACATCTCTTCGTGAACTGCTTGCGAACACCAGTGTGGACCCGGCATAACGTTCCCATTCTTACTTCGCTCTTGTCTTTCACACCTCCTTACACACAGTCACGCTTGGTCACAGATTTATACACGCATTCACTCTTGTCACGTGCCGATTTTCGGCCACGGTACCGATGATATCTCATTCAGAAGAACTCGGTCAAAACACTCTTTACCCGCACCTCACTCGATCTAACCATCGCTCGGCCCAAAACACTCTTATCTCACGTTCCACACTTTTGAAATTGAATCGGTATCAATTTGACGAGTATATCTTTATACAAATTTTTCTAAATATCCTTGCCAAGTGCATGTACCATATAACCAATTGCATCCTACTAGACCTCCAAGACACGTTATCTTCTCGGCACGATAAATTTCCCGAGAACGATTGAATTAAGGATGCCGAGGCAGTCGCGTCCCTGGAAGCCTTTCCTGTCCCCGTCTGTAGCCCGATCATTAAATTTGTAGTAGCTTTTAAACGGCCCTCTATGTCTGTTTGCCTCGGCGAACACGAATACCGAGTGGAACAACGCTATCGGAAAAGAAATTCCCTCGTTAAGCCGGCAGCTGCAAACGTGTACGCGTTTCAAATGTAATCAAAATGTACTTCGCCTTGTACATTCTCCGGGATAATTCTATCCGGTGCAAATTGACGAACGATCGACTTTCTAGTCAATTACTATAAGTGTCCAGACACGATAATCGCGTTCACGAACGACTTGTTTATCGCCATGAGCAATTCACCACCATTTTCACTTAAGGGGTTAGGACACGGTAATACTTTGAAAAATCGAAATTCTAAGTGTCCAGACACGATAATCGCGTTCACGAACGACTTGTTTATCGCCATGAGCAATTCACCATTTTCACTTAAGGGGTTAGGACACGGTAATACTTTGAAAAATCGAAATTCTTTTTTTATCTTAAATAGTAGTTTCAAGTCTTGAGAACAGAATGCAAAAGGTTTTACATGGATTCCAGGCTTCGATACAAATTATTTCTCTAAGTACCGTTTCGAGAGTGAATTGATGATGCGCTTTTCAAAACGGTGCACAAGATATCTCGAGTTCTACCTTAGCAATTACATTCAAATTTTACAGTTACCTTTACTATAATATCTATTAGGCATTGACGATCGATTTTTTTACATTTTCCCATTATTTTGTGAAATATAAATAAAAAAGTTACAACTTTTTTACCGAAATTCAGTCGTTAAATTTAAAATATCCGCCATTTCGTTAATTTCCTCAAAAATTGAAATGTGGGATCGTCAATGCCTAGAGAATATATCACAGTTCATGACATTTCTGGGATTCTGGATATAGTTAATTCGATTTGTAGAAATCCTGTACACCAGTCGGCCATCTGGAAGAAAAGATATTCCGAGCGAAGCATTATATGTAAATTTGCATTATTATGTAAATATTACAAGCACTTTTTTATAGTTCATAGTATAGTAAATTGAAATACGAAATTTTATATCAATCGATTATTCACTTTTTACTGTGTCCTAACCCCTTAACCTTACATGTTGCTTACTACAGCCGATTGTTTCAAGTTTACGATACAAACGAAACAACGTCTGCCTATTTTCGTGGATCTGAATATTTCAGCCTTTCAACCGGTCACCTTGTATTTCAAGCGCTTCACCTCTTCAATAACGATTAACGTACACCAAGGACTAGACATGTACGTGAATAACAATGTATACAGAGTGTCTAATTTGTAACGAACATTTAAAGTATCTCCGCTGGACTTGAAAATAAGAAAAAAATTACTAAAACAAGTTTATGCGATTTGAAGACGTGCATCTGGTGATAATAAAAGGAAGTGCCTACCAGGTCATTCTTTTTGCAAATTAACCTTTGTTTAGGCAACGAAAAATATTCACGGTTGCTTTCGACTGAAATATTTCAAATTGTTTGCGTAAATTTTTATTTTCGAAACGTACACCGACGTACAAGTGTCTAAAAATGGGACTTTTCGATACTTTCACAGGAACATAAAAAGCTGTTAAAGGAAAATATAGAAATGGGTACTCGGTTGCCTGCACAAGGGTTAATATCTGTATTTTTATAACGTGACGTAGCTGACATCAAGACGAATTCAACGACCTATGACATGATGATCTTGAAATGACTTTCATTCAAGATGATATCGAGGAGACCTTTTTTATCATCGCTAGAGATGTACGCCTTGAAATAAACTCGTTTCAATCGTCCTTTACTTTCAATACCTTCGGAATTTGAACTTGCGAACTTCGTGCTTGACCTTCGAACTTTATAATCCACCCTTTAATCATTCTCGTTGTGTAAATAAATTTGCGCTGGTGAATAAGTCGGTCTCACCGTTGTCTGCTAAACAAATCGGTTTCGCAAATTGTGCAGGAGCCAACGTATCTCTCGTTCTCCACCGTTTTCTCCATTTCTTCCTTCTGTTTCTCGTTCTCATTCTTCCCTCCCCTCTAACCCCACGCTTTGACGTCTCCTTCAAGCCTGATCGATTCGTCGCCTTTGAATTCCAAGCGTGCAACGGTGCACGTTCACCACCGGGAACAGGATGTAATGTTTTCGATACGGAATATGCGGAGGATCGTGATGCGACGAGATCACCTAACCGTTTGTTTGCCTTGTCTCGCGGCGCTTTTCAACGGATTCCATCACGTTCCCATCGAATTGTTCTTTTCATCGTGCAGTTGCACGCTGATCGACCATCCACCCGAACGAACCAACGATACCAGCTGGATAATCGCGTTGCGACGCCAGGTTTGCCTCGATTTCGAGAAATGGAGAACAGGTACTGGGGCAACACTTAAATTGAAGCAACTGAAGATCGCCGTTGCGCGGAAAACAGGATTTTACTGAAACTAGCGAGAATTAAGAGAACGTGACGTGCGCGTGACAAAGAAGAGTTTGCATCGAGGTTGGAAAAATAGGGCTACCTAACCCTTTCGCCACGGCAAATTTTACTGCGTAACGTGGATGACGTAATCACGGCTGCAAAATTTGTTCTTTTGGCCGTATCCTTTTAAAATTTGATTTATTAAAGTAAAGTGGAAGTGCGTGAAGGATGAAATTAAGTATTAAATTAACACGTTAAACGCCCAGCCTGTTTTGCTTACCGTTCCGTTCAGGCCACACTTGGCCGTCAAGTGGGCCATGCAAACTATAAACAGAAGATGACCAACGAAAAGTATACTGTCAGTCGCCGGTGACTGACGCGGCCTGAACGGAAAGT